TGCTGATGAAAATCAAGCAATATGCCTTGTGATAATGAAATGTTATTATTACCGATGAAAATCAACATTAAGAGGATGTATGCAAAAGATAATACACAATTAAGCATGCAAGGTCTCAGAATGAAAGCAAAATAGCTATAAAAATGTAGTCACGCTATTCATTTTTTAGTTCGGAATATTCGAACCATAGTGGTGGTCTCGAGTATTGACCACCGTAATCAACACAAATATCTCTCATTGCATTCTCTTTCGTGAAATGATAAGCATGAATCAGAGCGTAATTTCGATTGAGGTTGTTTTCTTCTTTTGGAATCTGAGATGAAGAAAATACAATAGATAAGTACAAAAAGATAGTGCATTTAATTTCAAAATTTCATTATGGGTTAAAATTTTTTTAATAATTGAACTTACTCAAAGGCGTGAATGAATTGGACCTGACCGAAACACCTTTTGTCTATCTAATTCATTCATTCAAGTTATAGGAAACACAAGATAAACTTTACCCTTGTAAAGAAAAGAACAACAAACAAGAAACTGTCAAAATTTGCCATCTAATATTTTTCTAACTTAAGTAATATAAATATTTAGAAGATATTTCGATGACTTTTCAATATTAGTAGGTAGCTAGAAAAAACTAGTAAACAAAATCTAATCCTTTTATCTTCGAGGAACGATTAAAATCTGATTTATATTTTGAGGTACAAGTAGAAGAAATTAGAAGGCTAAGTATAATACCACAATCAACTTCCACAAGCCAAACAAATTCAGCGAAATATGAAGTAAAAATCGAAAAAACTTGAAATATTCTTAGAAAAATATAAAAAAGATTTCATATATAATACACCAAAAAATCTAAAAAAAAAATCAAAACCCCCCAACAAAATGTAAACCCACAAAATGGAGAAATCCAAACTACTTGTAAATGTACAATGCTAGCAAAGCCACCGAGAATAATGAACCCAAAACGAAGAAAACAAATTCACGGTCTAGGAAGCTCAAAATTGATGGCACAATATAAAAGAAAGATAAAAATTAAAAAATAGAAACATTAATAAAAAAAACTTGAAACGAAAGCTTCAATTGATCGAAAAAAGAAATGCACATATTCAAAACCCTACCTAAAATATTCTTCTTCCCTCTATATTGAAGTAATAAATGGGATTCCAACGCAAAGAAATTGCACTTAGTTTTCAGAGAATCGTGAGAGGAAATATAGAAAGGGAAAAAAGAAAATAGAGTACACGACAATAAGAGTGATTGGAAAGAGAAAATGTTTCTGCGAGACAAGAGAAAAGATTGAGTTGATGGCTGCGTGTAAAAACTGAAATAGTAGTAAGTTGGCATTTCGGTGGTTTGAAACGACATCATTTTAAGGTTCATTTTTTTGGGAAAAATGACATCAGCACAGCATCATAATGACGTAATAATAAAGTTTGCTCTTTTATATATTAATAATTATTATAGTGATATTTCAACTGTGGCAACTAAGATCCCATAACTTTTAATTTGTTGCAACCAAAGGAGAAATGCCTTTCATTTTCCCATTAGTTGATCCAAAAATTTAAAAAATTGACAAATTTTAATCAATGAAATGAAGGGCAAAATAGAGCCTTACAATTTTCAACTTTTAAAATAAATTTAGCATTTTACCCATTTAGAAAATGGTCAAAATATAGTCAAAGTTAGTTTTCTTAGTCAACTAAAAGAAAAATGGACGAATCCATTCATTTTTCCTTCAGCTGCAACGAATTAAAAAGTTTGAAATTGTGAATGTCACGGATGAAAGGTTAGGACAAAAGTTGCCAACCCTCCTCTTAAAAACGACAGCGTCTTAAACACCAATAAAGCGAAGATTTCACATTTCATCTCTCGCTCTTAAACCCTAATTAGTAACAGAGAGAAGGGAAAAGCTTAAACCCTAAAACCTTCCTCAAGTTCCCCAGTATATCCGTCGACGTTGCTTATTTACGGCCGTCAAACTGAAAATCCCGGTGCATATATAGCACACATCGAAGAAGCTTTTTTCCTTTTGACATCCGTTTACTCCGAGCCGTCTGTCCCCGCCTCCGGTATGAAATCCGACCCGCTTGGCAGACGATCCCGGGCTATTCCCGTTATCTCCCGGATCTTTCCACACAAATTCAAGTACCAGTCTTTAGGGTTCTTAAAATTTGAAAAAAGGCTCCTACATGAACAATTTAATATTCGTAAACTATGGGGTCTGGAGATGCCGGGGGTTTGTGGGTTGAGTTCTAATTCGTTTAAGAAAAATCTGTTGCTGGGTAATAGTGATAATGATGAGGTCATTGGCTATGAAAATGGTAAATGTAGTAGTAGAAAGGGGAATGGGAAGAGAGGGAGAAAGGGTGTTTTGGATAATACAAGTAAGCAGGTTGGGTGCAGCGATTCGACTGACCAGGGGGAGAAAACTGGTGTTGAGGAAATGAAGAGAGAAGGAAATGGTATGGACGGGGTCACTGACTATGGAAATGGTAAATGTAGTAGTAGAAAGAAGCGTGCCAAGAGGGGGGGAAATGGTGAATTGGACAATATGAGTAAGCAGGGTGGGGGCTGCTATATGAGTGACAGGGTGGATAAAATTGGGAGGGATACATGTGGTGATGATGAGGAAATGAACAGATATGGAAGTGGGGTTATGCAAAGAGACACGATGGTTACGGATGATGCGTACACGGGTTTCAAAGAGTTGATGGATGGTGGAGTTGATGATGATGATGAGGAGGAGGAGGAGGAGGAGGAGGAGGAGGTCGTAGTGGAGGGCCACAATGGCATATTGAAGAAAGCAAGTGTGACCCAATTGCCACCAAGCTCACCTGGAAGAAGTGATTCCTACTTGAGTGAAAGCAGGTGGTTTTTTAAATCTCAATACCGCATTTGTGTCACTTCATAGATATGCACTTTGATATTTACTTAGAAAGTACAATAAGAATGACAATAGTAGTGGTTATTTGTTATATAATATTTGTGTTGTGTTACAATTTAAAACCCAAATACTGAAGATGAGCGTGGGTTGTTATTAGTAAATTCTGCCTTTTGGAGAAGGGAAAAAGAGATTGTTCTGGGGTTTGATTGACTATAGATGTTTGTTGTATTGATCATATGGTATTTGACCATCAAACTGAGTTTGTCTCTGGCAATGGAAGAATTCAGGTGAAAATAATAATGATCTTTTTGAAAGGGAAAATAATAATGATAGATTCTGATTCATTTGATTTGCTTTTCTTGTATATAATCTTTCTTCCCATCGTTATTATTTAAGCTGAGGAATTTTTTTATTCTTCTTCTTGTTGCAACTTTCCATTTTTTGTAGGGAATTTCAGTACGAAAAGGACCAATATTTCAAATAGAGGAAAATTCTCAAAAATCCAAGTCAAAAGAGACAAAATAAAAAACATCCTTAGTTTTTAGTTCTTTTTGAAGAAATCTTCATACAACTAAAATTCTATAATACCCTCCATCATTTTTCTCCGAGACTTATACGACAATGAATAGGTGACATTACCAAAATGGGGGGGGGGGGGGGGG